CCTGCCAGGTTAAACCACGACAATAACTAAAGATGTTTTACCCTAATTTAAATCCTTCCATATATGGAGAAAAACTAATAAATTAAAGTAGTCATTGTATAAGTAAATTCATGAGCAAGACATGTTAACAAATAAACTGCCTGAAACATCTAAAAGTGTCCCCAATGCAGCCAAGACTGAGGAGGAAGAAATCCTCAGCAGCAACACTGTACCCTTTCCAGCAAAGAACTTCGGATGCTGACAACACGCAGGAGAGATTAAGCAGAACACTAGAGAAACAGATACTGAAAACGTAATAAAACTGTTATACATACTTATTAATGAGGACTATTTAAATAATTAAATAATTTGAATTGTTAGTATCATTGTAACTGGATTAAGAATAACTGCTTGTAGTATTTGTTATGTTTGTTGTATGCTACTGGAGCACTGCTTGGACTAATAATAAATGCTAGTTCTTGGCTCTGCTGATGAAGTACGTTCCCCTTTTTGCCTGTAACAAAATTGTGTAAGCTTGTAATATTATCTTTGGGGGAAGGAGGAAAAAAAGGAAAAAAAAAAAAATCAAAGCCAAAACCCACCCCTCCCTCCGCCCCCAAACCTCCCAGGACAAGTGAGCATTTCTGCCTGACCTTGACACCAAAACCCCTCGCAAAAACTTCAATGCAAACTAAATGGATTAAAAACTGTCATTTTGGAAAAAGTGAGTAAATCCAAAATATCCAAAGATTTCTGTTCAGTGCATTAAACGCTGGCGAGCGGTTATTTTCTAGTTCCCTCTGAAAAGAGAAAAATTGTGTTAATCACTTTTTTCCTTCTTTTTTTTTTTTTCCCAGTCTGCTCTGTTTCTCCTGGTACCGTGGTACAAATCAAGATCATTACAGAGTATTCCTTCATGTTAAACAAATGGCAAAGGGAGAAAGACTGAAAAAAATTAAAAAAAAAATCCATCAAGGATGGCAACACAGAAGAAAGCAACTTTAGCTCCAATCTAAACCTTCTTTCATGCAGAACTGAAATTTAACCTAATGGAAGATGACTATGTCTAGGTAAGTGGCCAGAAGTGGGCTTTTGTTACTGACCTTAGAATTAAATCCTTTGCTTTCTCCGAAATGGGCACCTCTGGAGGAAATACCAATGTTTCTTTCCAGTTCATAACTTTCCTATAAGTTTCTTGTGGCGTTTCTGAGCAGAAAGGTGGATACCCTGCACAAACAAACAGAAAAATCAACAAGCTTTTCCCAGAAAAGGAAAGTGACCTGGGCCTCTGCTTTTGCCACGGCTCCCAAAACTAACAAGTAGTACTAACCAAAAGTTTTCTCTGTTGAAATGCAACATTAAAGGTTATTTTGTTACTTCCAAGTAATGAGACTGAACCTCAAAAACATTTAATAGCGAACAGTTATTCACCGAAACAAGTAACCGAAGCATCGTATCTCTTGCTGTCTTCTTGGAAAGGTGGGAGGATTTCAAAGTATTCTGGAAGTTGAATTTGGGGCTTACTTCAGGTAGGAATTGAATAAGATTCTGGTACCTCCACTATGCAGGGGATCAGACTTGGTGAACTAACGGACCCTGTTACCTTTGAACGATTCTTAAGTTGGGGTCTTCAACATACCTATTAGCATTTCATACATAATCACTCCCAAAGACCACCAGTCACACAGCTTGTTGTACCCAGTCTGCATAAATACTTCTGGTGCAATATAGTCTGGGGTTCCAACAGTAGAATATGCCTGGAGAAAAAAGAATAAACTCTTTAAAAGATAAATACTACATTTTAACACTTTGCAAAACTTTTTCCTGGGGATTCACATATAGGACCTTGTTATTTGGATGGACAAGGATACTTAATTTGAGAATTCACAGTATCTAAAATCCCAAGAACATTATTCTTTTACATGAGTAAGCACAGAGAACCTTGAAAGCAAATGGAAATCATTCTCCTAAATGTTATGAAATAATAGAATATTCCCACTGCAATATCAGAAGGTCATTTTAGCTAAAGTTTCAGGTAGCCGCATTACTAAATACCCAAGAAGTTCTGTTGTTGTTGTAGTTGGTATTTTTTAAAAAAAGGGATAACCAGTGGTAGATTCCCATGTATGACACTAATGATACACTAGCTGTTCCATGTATTACCTTGTCTTTATTGCCAAATTAATTTGAGCTCTTTCTGGACCCAGGCTCCATCCTTTTAACCTTTTAAACGTGCAGCCTAGATGATTCTGCCTAATGACTAAATCTTGAGCTATTTGGGAATTTCTCTTTACTGGATGGAAAATTTTGCATGGGGCAGGGGAGGGAAGAAAAAAATCAAAAACCCCCCAAACCAAAGTAGTCCACCAAAACCAGTTTTGCCAGAAAAATCTTTTACTTTCATTTGTCTGACCAGAAACAAAATACTTCATTTTATTGAACAGAGCCAAGACATTTAGTATTGAACCAATGGAAAACCAAGAATATGGCTCCTTTTCAAATAGTGTCGATACAGGTTGTCATTTTGGCCTTTTATGCTCTCTGTTGGACTGTCTCATGATTCATCTAGCTTCACCACACAGTTCTGCCATGTCAGTCTTTACCAACCTGGAGATGTAGTCTTTTCAGGGATCTAACTCCAAGCAGGAGTAAGGGTGTGAAATACAGCCCCTATGAGGCAGCATGATTGCAATGTAATCTCATTATGTCTCAGGAAAGAGGAAAGAAAAAACAACCCAAAAGATTTTTGGGAAAACTGCAGCATATGACTTTTTAAACAGTGTGTGCAAAATAAGAAGTTCCAAAATTTGAAACCTGAGGTTTCTGCAACTGCTATTCAGTGAAAATCACGAGCAGGGCTGAAATTCTGAAATCCCATGGCAGACAGATACTTTCCTTTGATTCAGTTAATGCCAGAGCTCCCTTTATTACTTGACCGCCCTTCATTATAAACCCAGGCTGCAGGACTCCAGTGCCAATAGCCCCCACTGCCTTTCCATCATATTCCCGTTCAGCAGAAGGACAAACAAGTTTCCCCCACAATTCTCTGAAAAAGAACCACGCAGCTACACATCTTCTGATGCTGAACTGCAGGAATTAAACCCAGGAGTTCACACACGGTGTCAATACCAGGTCAGTCTAGGAGACAAACTCAAGATACAGCTTTGCTAAGCAGTTGCTGACACCCGAGGTTAGTTAGTCCAGATGCTCATAAGGGAAACAAAGAGCAGGGTCTTGCTAGTCACAGCTCTGAAAACAGACAGACAAAGCAACCGTGATCTCTGAGCTATTCCACAACCAGAATCACTAGACCACCTTCTTTTGAGTTATTTGCAATTTGGGGAGCTTGAAGAGAGCGACATCTGTAAGGGATGAGGGCCTTTCAGTTTTTTAAAGAACAGCAGCATTTATGCTGAGTTTTTATTTAACGTTTTCTGTAAATAGTTTAAAAGAAAAAAAATTATACATAATTTTATTAACTCACCAGCTGTCGCCTGTTCTTCTTCCATGTTTCTGCTTTTCTCTTTGAGTTCATATTCTGAAATGCTAATTTACAAAATAGTTATTAGATAATAAATGCATTTGTGAGAATTAAAAGAAAAGATTGATAACGTTCTGTTTTCAAAGAATAACTATTTTGTATCTTTAGAATGCTTTAGTCTAGAAACAAATACTTGATTATAACTGGAGATGGGAAAATGAATAACTACTGTCCAATTTGCAGCTGAAACTCATGTAAGTAGGACACACGATCAGCAATTCTAAATTAGAACTTGCTAAAAGTTTTACAGATTGATTTGAGATCAGCAGCACTTATTGTTGCAGCTGGCAATGTATATTCAGATACGGGCGATGGTTTTTTAAGCAACAAGTGAAGAATCCAAGAATAACTGCAGAGGAATTTTACATTTGTAGAATAAAACACTAACGTGGATATGTCAACAAGGCATGCTGATGAACAACTTCACTCTTATGAAAAGCTTCATGAGATTGTTACTGACTTCAGTAAGTCAGCACACGAAACCCATGTCCCTTCTGAAAGTGTTTCTGTAACTTCACTAACATTGCTATGAAAAATACATTAAAATACAGATACATTACATTATGTGTATTTGTATCTGTGTACAAATGTGCAAAAATACATTAACACTGCAGAAATCAAAATTTCTTTCCTGTATAATGCTTCCATGTCCTGGGGAACATGCATTTCCAGTTTTCCAACTACATGCAATCAGCCTGACCAATCTTGCTCAACCCAGCAGAAATAAATTATGATGTGGTATAACTGCAGCTCAAAACTATTTAGATGTTTAACTAGGACACCTTATACTTACAGAAGTCACTTGGCGGGTTGTGTGTCAGGTTCCTGTAAAACTCTGTTCTGTGAGCTTTCTTTAAACCTGTGCATAGCCCAAAATCAGACAGTTTTACATGACCCTAAAAAAATCAGAGAAGATAAAAACATAATTTAGAAAGATAGTGCTCGAGAAAGAAAGTTTTAATAACTGCACTTGCTTTCTCAGGCCATCATGGACTCGCACAGAACTACCTAATCCAGGACAAGTAGGCAAATGATCTCCGAATCTTGATGTACTGTGAGAATGTGTTTTCTCTCAAAAGGGTTATTTTGCCCCCGGGAATGGTTACATCTACAATTCTGCAACAGCTGAGGGCAGATAGTTTGCCTGTTTTTTGTTTTGAACTGGATACCACTAAGACTGAGAAAGCCTCCAGGACAAAATTCCTTTGTTTTGTTTTGATGGTAACCTGTTTTTAATCAGGTGGTCTACAGATTGGTGCATGATGCTTACCGGGTCCGTCTCATGGCTCACTGTAGTCAGTCTAACAGTGTTTCCACTGATAAGCGGGTAATAAACAAATGAGATAACTGCAGGAATTGAACCGATTATTTAGCATTGTCTGAATGTTTCATGCTTTCATTCGTCTTGAAGTAACTAAGTGTATCGGTTTTTAACGTGTATGAATATGAGCATCTTCTCACTTAAAAGGCTTTCCTTTAAAAGAGTTAAAAGGCTTTCCAACAAAAAACAAGGGCAGTTTTGCTTTAAGTATACTAGCATTCTACAAGGAAAAGATAATGACCACTTTCTGCCTTTACTCCAGCTAGTTTAAAATCACTGATGTGGCACTACTGGTTCCCACCAATTAGCACCACTATATATGGCATATATATAAAACCGAGATGTTTAAAGCATAGGCAGTTTACATGCACATTACATGCCTTAGCATCCAGCAGAAGGTTATCTGGTTTAATATCTCTGTGGATGAATCCCAGCTGGTGAATAGCATCTATGGCCAGCACAGTTTCAGAAATGTAAAACTGTGTCTCCTCTTCTGATAAGGTGTCTTTCTTCATTAGTAAGGTCATCATGTCACCTAATCAAAGAGCAGAAAATACAGCTTAGAAATCAGAACATTTTAATCACAAGGCTAATTCTACGTGAAAACCCAGTAGAATCCAAATTTAACCTTGTAACTGGCCTTCTAGCTACTAATTATAAAACTATTACTGCAAGGACCTACAAACCCAACACACTTTTTTAGTAAACTGGATGTAAAACTGTTGAAAATCCTAAATAGGAATTTTAGTGGGATAACCCAGGAAGATACAGTAAATTTTAATGCACAATACATGTATTGCATGTATTTACTAGCTTTGTGTATCGCATGTACTTACTAGCTTCAGCAGTAAAAAGCAGAACACTGGATCAGAATAAGTATTTAATCCAAGTCTATTTTAATACCCCTCCATAACCTTTCTCCTTCCCCTAAAAATCAGGAGTGGTTACATTACTGGGACTTCATTTAAAACAACATTAAAACAACAAATTACACAGCATGCTTGTAGCTAACATTTTATGAAGCTCACAACAAAAGCTAAGGAAGCAGTACTTCTGTCACCTAACACCACAACATACAGCTTACCTCCAGGTAAGAACTCCATGATCAGGTAAAGATTTCTTTTATCCTGAAAGCTGTAAAACATTTTCACTACCCAGGCTCCATCTGCTTCAACCAAAATATCTCTTTCTGCTCGGATATGGGCCACCTAAAATTTAAAAAAAAAAAAAATTACTATTAAAGGACAATTTAAATATTTCAACAAGGAACGCCATATTATATTCCTAGTCCTACAATATATTTTCATGATCTTTAATGAAGAAACTATTTTTCATGCTCTTTTCGTATTCATATTTCTCATAGTTTTTTATGAGATCCTACAAAGTCCTCACAAAACGCGCAGCAGAAACCCACAGAAGTCAACTTAATGTTGAAAATAACTGTTCACACAACTTTGCAGAAGCAGTCTCTAGAAACACAAAGCATAGCTTGTTAAGCTGTTTCTGTTTGTTAGAAAGAACTGAAAAAGCTGCTGGAAAAGTGCAATTCCCTTTTTTACTATACCCTAAAATGAAATAGAAACATTCAAAAAAGTTACAGAGCTGACCATCACAGAACTTTACATGGCACTGCAAGCTCAGACAAAAATTTAATGTGCAACTCAAGGTGCAAATACTGACAAAATTATTGGAAAAGGCCAGAGTTGGTCTTAAAGAATACAAGAACCAAGAGGTAAAATTGTAGATGCATTATGATTACTGTCAGAAGTTACCAGATTTCTCATATACATATACAAAGAAACAAAAAACTAATAGCTACTTCTACACAGATATCTCACAGTTTAAACTCGGCAAGATAAGCCTGGGGAATCTTCTCAAGAGTGACAGAGTGCCTAAACAAATGACTTCCTGCAAAACCCGATTCCTTCATCGCTGTGAAAAGAGAGAAATGCCGAATTTACATTACAGTGAACTACTGTCTAGTTCCCAAACCCACATTGTATACACTGCTGATGGTGCGTGAACTCCTTCCAGATGGTACACGGAGACTGCTCCTACATGCGTACGTGGCGAACCTTACTTGAACTGCACAGCAAGTGCCTGGGCCAAGTGGGAACAGGGCTGGGATGAGTTTCAGCTCTTACAGATGACGGCAGGTAGCAATGAGCTCAATGGCCAGTATTAAAGCAGTGCAAAAATGGTAAGGGTCTTGGGCTATTTAAGTGGGGCGGGGGAGAAGGGAAGAGAAGATGGGGCCATTCCTCCAAGTTATGTGCATGAAGCTGGCCCAGAACTGATACGACCACCACTGCTGCTGATGTTGGTCCCTGGCAAGTGAGTTCGGGAACATCTGGCCTTGCTCAGGATATTCCAGTCCCAGCTGAGGCTTTGAAAAAAATACATGGAGAGCTGCTACCCCATGAATTCACTGGAAACTAAGAGTAGTGGAGACTGGAGGAGAGATGTGTGTTTCACTAGAATGTACACTCATCCTGAAGGAAAATGAAAGACATATGCATGGAAAAATATTTCTTGACAGCTGTAAGATTTTCATTATTCATACACCAGAAAGCAACTTCTGAAGAGAAAATATGTACCACTCTTCCAGCTTCGAGGGCTATTTCCAATAAGCAGCAAACAGAGTCTTCTGCATCTCTTCCCCAATTCTACTGGCCAGGAGCATCTTTACATCTGTGGGTTTTTTTCCACAGGGTTTCACAGGGCAATGGGTTCTCTCTCCGTAGCAGACACTCCAACTTTTTTTTATCTAGCTCTGTCTATTCTCATTCGAAAATATTTCTTTCCACCCTCCACTCCTCAATGTAGCTATAAAATATAATATTAAAACCTTGCTTAAAAACCAGCCAGGATATCTCCTGGTGCTATCAATCTTGAAAAATAATCTTAATTTTCTCGTATTTGTGTCCTGTGTTGCTTTCCATTGAACAAACCAGGCAATGAAAATTAGAGCAGATAAACCCTCTCCAGGGAAGATTACAGTCCCAAACTAAATGGAGAGTGTGAGCTCAGCCTCCTTGCCACATCAGGTTATGAAATGGGGGCAGGGTTTCAACCAGAGGGCCACACACATCCTGGCTGCTGTGCAGAACGTGCTGCTCCTCTGGTTCCCTATATTCAGGGCATGGGTTTGAGGAGACAAAAAGTCTGCGCCAGGAAAAAAAAATGAAGTACGAGTACCACTGCAGGGAAATGTAATACAAGAGCAAATGATGAGTAGGTTTTGGACAGGTAAGGGAAGTCCTCTTTTATCTGCCCTTTCGCTTGACACGTCCACACTTTATTTCTTTGCTTTGTGGTGCTAAAGTACTCACTGTGTCCTACCAGAAATTTGCAGTGAATTGTTAACTAAAAAGTAAAAGCAAAACCCAAACCAAACTAACAAAACCAAAGCAAAACAAAACAAGACAAGACCCAGCTAAAGAGCAAAACAAAGGAAAACAAAGGCAATGAACAATGTGACATCTGTTGTTATCTAACCATCAAAAGATATCACCAAGTACTCTCAGTTTTTACTTTGGCACAGTATTACTTTTCAAGAAGCACTTTCTTTGAAATGCAGTTTTACAGATTAAGTACTATAAGGTCTGCATTGATAAAGGAAGGGAGGGGGGAAAAAAAAAAATCTTTGTCACTAGTCAAAATTGGTTGTAAATAAAACATTTTTTAAAATGCTGTTACATGACCTTATTTCCTAACTTCTATTTATTCTTTTGTACTGTGGTAGTGACTCCATAGATGCTTTGGACTCCTATACCATTATTGGGTCTTTTGAAGGGGAAAATATGACCAAATAGTATCTGCCACAAAGAACTTCAGCAATTTTCTAGACAGCATAAGTTTGAAAGCTAAAGGACTTTTACAACACAAACCTGCTCTTTCTCCAGCATATCTGCTTTTCTTAGTATCTTCATTGCATAAATATGACCTGTATCCTTCTTTTGAACGAGGCGTACCTATAATGAGAAATATAACCCAATGAATCTTCTCCACCTCAGAAACTAGACCCCAGCGTGGAATCTACTGGAAGGCTCAAAATTGCTGGGCATGGACAAGTTCTTTTGTGAAACATTTAAAAATACATGGAAAAAAGAAATATTTCTACACCATGTGCAACACTAACACTAGTGATGAACAGATAGTTCGAAGTAGTTACTGTTTTAGGAAAAGTTAGCAGGCACACTAAATTCCAGGTAGCTGTGAGATTGTGTATGCTAAAATTCAGGAGCAGATAACTGTGATGTGACACAGGGCAGAGAGAATGTTTACGGAGAAGAGCTGTGCAACTGCAAATCCATCATTTCAGGGGGCCACATGGGCAACATCAGTTTGGGCTAATAGGAAGCTGTGGGAAACTAAGGGCCTTTCCAGGGGCCTTGAGAAATCGATGCACGTAATTCATTACTGGACTTATCACACTTGTACAGTTACTCAAATAGCTATTCTTCCGCAATAAAACTCCCCAACTGGAACTTCTATTCTGTAATTAAAATGTTTCATTTTAATGTTCAATCCAATTTTAATATCCTGTTCAAGCAAGAATGCCACAAACCTCCCCAAATGCTCCTCTTCCTATAACTTTCAAAGATTCAAAGTCATCCAAGCCAAGTCTAGTCCTCTTCAGGCGCAGAAATTCTGTTTCTTTGCGAGCATGTTGTGACCTGCGCAGTTTTTTCTAAGGAGACACATACACAGAAATTTACGTAAGTCATTTGACAGTAGAAAGTCAAGATATACAATCTCCTTTCCTGTGAAGTATTCTCCCTCCCATGAGGATTACAGAGAAAATGTAAAAGGAGAAGTCTTTCTGAATTTCTCAAAATACGATCCATGAGCATGGTCTTTTATATAGAGGCCTCAGGCCCAGTTTCACTTTTTTTTTGGGGGGGTGGGGTGTTTTTTTTTTTTTATTACTTAGTTATAAAGAAACAGTAATAAAAATTAATGAAAAAAAAGATACTGGTTCAAACAAAGTACACTAGCTGAGGCAAGGACTTTTGTTTTCAGGTAGTGTGAAGGATCAATAAGAGCTGAAACTTGCACCCCACCAAAAAGAGTGATGACAGGCAACAAGGAGCCTAACAGGTAGAGATCCAACTTACGCTATCTATAGCAAAAGCCATTTGGTTTAGGGCAGGCAAACACTCGTATTTGAAAGAAAAATCTGTCCAAATCCTGCCATATATTTTGTTCTGTAAAAATGTCAATGGGATTCAGCATGAAAGAAGACAAATGCCGCCTATGCTCCCAAAGATGCCGAGGAGCCCTCAGAGACTGCTAGCAAGACCCATGGATCAGGCACCTGCCAGATTTTGTACTAGGATGACAGTGTCACTTAAAACCACAAGATGGCATTATGCACCCACACTCGCTTTTCCTTCTTCCCAGAAGTTACGGCAGCCACAAACTCAGAAATGACTAAGGCACTGTTCCTACTCCCTGCCTATCCTGAAGGCAGTACAGGCAGCCATGGTATGATAAACCTCAGAAAAGCAACTTATTGACCAAAGTTCTGAGACATGCCAACTAGACAGAGATCCCTCCTCATCTGTATCCGAATGGAGCAAGGGTTTGCCCAGTTTATTGTTTAAATCAAGAAAAAAATGGTTCAGCATTTTGCTTTCTACCCCTTCTTCCAAGCGCATCTCACCTTTTTTTCTTGCCAAACATAATGGCAAACAATTTTAATCTTTGAAAAGCGTGGTATATACTTCCTGCAGCCATATGTCTCATGACTAAGGGTGGCAGGAAAAGCCTTAGCTATTGCAAGTATCATTCAAGCATATTCACAGCTTCCCTAATAGACAAGTTATTTACAGGGGCATCATTCATTTACAAAATAAAACTTTATGTCATGCTAGCTAATGTGAGGTCCTCAATGCCAATTTGAAGTAGTGGGACAAAAACAAAGCAATCTCTTCAAAGGTTACTTAAGTAGTATCTACCTCCTCGTCTGCGAGGCCTTCCTCTTCCATAGCCACTTCTAGCTTCTTCTGCCTGAGAAGGGGAGAAACAGGAGATCGCTTTTTTATTATTTATTAAAAACAAATATAACACTACAGCAAGACAACGCCTTTACTTCACATATTCCAGATACCAAAGAATTTGCCTCAAATGGAAATGTCAAGACTTACTGTCCACTCCATCCATTTACTCATTTGTGACCAAAGCTGTTGAAAACGTCTAAGTAAATTTAAGCACATACTTATGTATTTGCAGAATTAGGCATTAAAGGTCCAAACATATAATCACTCTAATGACTTATATTTCTTCATGTAATTTTGTTGAAGTAAGACTGTTTTTATCAATTAGGACTGCGATCAGAATAAACATGGGTTTTTTCACCATTTCTATCTCAGCTCTACCTCCAACACCTCAGCTAGCTAGCTCCCGCTTTCACTCTCAGTCTCAGCCTTGCTGACCTCTCCTTGGTCACACACCCGGTCCTGCTCCCCTTACCCTTGTGCCAACTAACTCTACCCCCCTGGATTCGCCATCATTTCCTCCCAGTGTCCTGCCCAGGCCAGGGCTCACTGGTCCCCGGGCTCCTCCAGCTGGTGCCATGCCAGGTTGGGAGGGTCTGAGTGGGGAATGAAACCTGAAACTCTACAGAGGTAGATGCTGCAGAGCTGCTGATGGGTGGTAACTTGGTTTTGTGTAAGGCAGTGGCTCATGGTGTCTATTGGGAGTACCCCACAGATGGCAGGGGATCAGCATGTGGCAACGTGTCTGCTGGACCCCTCTTTTTCCACCCGTGGGATGCTTCTTTATGTCTGTCAGGGTGCAGCTTTCAGAAAGCTGGTTACCGACTTGCAGCGGCCAAGAGTTCGAAGGCTGGGTGCCAGGCTGCTGGTGTCTTTCTGCACTTTGGGAAGTACAGCAGGATCCCCTAAATTAAAGGCCCTCAGTAGACAGTCTATTCTCCTAACTAGAAGCAACTCAATTACATGGGATAATGACTAAAATATGATGAAGAGAGAAACCCTGCTGCTCGGCTGAAAACCCCTCAATTAAAAACATATTACCAGGGGAATGATAATTTCACATGCTGATGACAATTTGAAACACAACATTCATTATAATCAAATGCTTGGTGCTTTGACAATTCAAGTAGCACATCACCACATCAGAAGCAGAACTGGGCACCGATGAGAGAAGTTAAAGTGGAGATGACCAACACATAGAATCATAGAATCATTAAGGCTG